CTTAGTAAGAACGAGCGAGAGCCCCTGTAGGTTTCAGTTCATCGATCTGTTGTGTTCCCGTACACAGCCGGGCAGATTTTCAGTTGCATTAGGCACTCTTCCAGATTATTTCTTTTATGTCTTGCCTTAAAAGGATGGGGATTACTATGCCTAATAGGGAGGGCCAGATTCTGGATCTTGACTGCGCTCGAGCGCAGCCCACAGTTGTGGTCCACGTCACCATAATGTCTTCGAAGGCTGTCCCACGGATGCTGTGCTTTCTCACCTTGCAGTAACAAGCATCCAGCCGAAGCCTCTACCCAGGACTTTGCACACCTTTTTCCTTTCTCCCTTTTCAAGATGGGACAAATGCCTTTAGCAGAGGAAGCTTCTCAAGATGGGAAGGTTTGACAGTTCCCGGAATATGCCAGGGAGGGTGCCCAGAATGTAACGTTTCCCATCCTAGGAAATATCCTTCTATTTGCTCAGACCTGCTCAGTCTTGGTGGTTTAGGGGAGGAATAAGAGAGCTCCCCCCCAAATGCCTTCATAGCTAGTGGCAGAGGGCGTTAGGGACTCATTTTATGCAGGAACTTGGAGGTTTGAGAGCCAGCTGGTGTTGTGGATAAGAGTGTCAAGGCAGGACTCAGGAGACTGGAGTTCAAATCCCGGCTCAGCTGTGGAAACTCCCTTGGGGACGGGGTGGCACTGATAAACCATTGCTTGAACTTCTCATACAGTATATTTCAAAAATCTTATTAGGGTGCCCAGAAATTGGAAAGAATTCCATGGCACATAGCCGGAGGGGGGGAGAGAGAAAAAAGCAGCTTAAGTAGCTTACGACTCGGGAGACCCGGGTTTAAATCCTCGCTCAGGTATGGAAACTCACTGGGAGTCGGGGGGTGGGAGTTGGCAGTGGTAAAACCACTCCTCAAATATCTCCTGTATCTTGAAAGCCTTGTTAGGGGCCAACTATAAGTTAGTTCTGACTTGACGGCACAGGGGACTAAAATTTGCTTAAACCAAAAACGAATAGGAAGACATCATTTTCAGGAAGGGAGTCCTGTGCCCAGTACAGCCGTTGCAGTTAATGTGAAGCCCTCTGCTGGCACACAGGACTAAAAATTTGCTTAAAACAAAAACGAATAGGAAGACATCATTTTCACGAACGGAGTCCTGTGCCTGGTGCAGCCGTTGCAGTTAATGTGAAGCCCTCTTTCTCCTCTCCTGCCTGTGGGTCCTGGAATTGAAAAAAACAAGCCTTGTGGCAGGAGAGGTGAGCAGGGTCTCCCGGGGTGTGTATGGGAAGCCCAGAAGACTCTGCCCCAGGGGGTGAGATTTGGGCCACGATCCGATGGTCGGTTTCATTTTGCAAGCTTCGTGGGCGACCCTGCGTGGCCGACCCTCATGGGGGAGCTTCTGGGACCTGTTTCTGTGAAGACGTGACGGCCCCAGCTTGGCGCTCCTTGGGTGGCCCTCACCTTAGTTCCGATTGCACCCTTCCTGCCACGGGGGAAATGTCACGCTTGTGGCCAAGGTCCAACCTCACGTGTCCTGTATCCGTTAAAAGAGGGATGCGTGTGGTCAGACCTAGTCCACAAGCCCTGTATTCTCACACACAGCCGAGCGAGGCCTCGTTAAGCTGCCATCCGGTCATCATCACCATCTGCACCAACCTCGACGCCATCCTCCTCCTCTTCCTCCTCCGCCTTCTCCTCCAACACCACCACCATCATCTTCTCCTTATCACCGTCAGAGAACGAGCGCCTCCATCTGTCATCTGTCACGATGGGCCACTCCATAAACCGGGCAGGAGAAAGAAATGAATTCGGAGTCTTCTTTGTGATACCTGCACCGACGTGAAAGGGAATAGAAATGAAAGTGTGTGTGTGTGTGTGTGTGTGTGTGTGTGTGTGTGTGTGAGTGAGAGAGAGAGAGAGAAGGAGTAGAAGCATCTATGCACGTGCTGCAAGGGACTTCGTTACAAGATTATTATGTAGCTATTTTAAATATATAATTGGGAATCAAGAGGGATTAGAGCAGGGGTGGGCAAGCTTTCCAGGATTACTCAGGACATCCCTGGACACTGAAGAGTCATGTTTTTTTTCCCTCTCGAAAAACAATTTCTTACCATATTTTTTTAAACTCCTGAAACTCCCACCTTGCTCCCTCTAGTGGCCAAATTATTTTATTTTATTTAAAGGGTGGATTTGGAGTGAGGTGTCTTCCAAACACAGTGGGATTTTCCCCGTGCTCCTTAGAGGGCCCAAGGAAACTTTTGGAGGACTTCTTCTTCAACAAAATTCTTTAAAAAATTGGGATGTGGGAGTGCTAGGATTCTCCAGGGCTGGTGGAGTACCACAGTGGTTCCCAACCTTGGGTGCCCAGATGTTCTAGGACAGCAACTCCCAGAAATCCTGGCCAGGGCAGCTAGCGGTGAAGGCTTCTGGGAACTGTAGTCCAAGAACACATGGGTTACCCAAGGTTGAGAACAACTGGTCTGGAGTCTTGTACTGAAGGAACTGCCTATTTGTTTCTGATCTCTATATCCCTCTGAAGCTTCTCTGCTCTGGAACGCTTGCCCATCTCCTGTGATTGGCCCCTTTTCTGTGTTGCTCTTTTCCTGGCTTTTCTTCCTTGGCTCTCCCAGTGACTTTCACTTCCAGCCCTCCTTTTCCAGCTTCCCAGGCTTGCTTCCACAAGTTACTTTCCCAGACTCCTTCACTGCCTCTTTTTCAGTGTCTCTTTTTCTTTCGCCCCTTCCTTTGTTAGTGTTCCGATGGTTTTGCTTGTAAGAGCAGGCTGTTGTTGTGGTGGTCAAATGAATGAAGTAGTCCTTCAAAGGCATGCGGTTCTTGATAACAGGAAGCAGAAGCTTTTCTTTCAGGAGCTAGCCATCCTCTCTGGAAATAAATCACTCAGTCAGCTGTCAGCCCTATTTGGCCAGCTAATGGCGGATGTGTACAGATATATGAGGCGATCATGCCCTGTGTGGTGTACTGGTCAGTTTCCCCTACCACAATTGGGGAGATCTAGGTTCTTGTCCCTACTCAGCCATGAGCAGTGGAGGCTGATAAATCCAAGTCCACTCTGGGTTTTGGTGGGAACGTTAAAAGAACTGTCCAAGGTGCTGAACCTGTCCTGAGGACAAGCTATGTCTGAGCCAGTTGTTCCAAACCTTGGGTCACCGGATGTTCTTGGACTACAACTTCCAGATATCCTGGCCAGCACAGCTAGTGGTGAAGGTTTCTGGGAGTTGTAGGCCAAGAACATCTGGGGACCCCCAGATGCTGGGTTGCTTGCTCCCTGGAGAAAACAGGAAACTGTGGATGGATTTACTCACCTAGTGGAGCAACAGCGGCTCTATTGGGGAGGAGTGAGGAACATGGGGTCCTCCAGATGTGGTTGGGCTCCACCACTTATCAGCCCTAGTAAAGGATGATGGACAGTTGAAGTCGAGTAACATCTGGAGGGCCACAGGTCACCCACCCTTATTTTAGAGCAGGGGTGGTCAAAAGGCAGTTGATGTACTATATGCGGTCCTCCCAGTGCCCCCCAAACACTCTCATGCCAAACAGTATTTACTTGGATGTTTAAATACTGAACAAAGTCCTCGTGCCCTCGGGGTGTGTGTGCAATTTTGCATATTTGGCCCCTTCCCCAGCTGTTTCAGCTGTTTCCAACCTGCAAGTCACTGAGGACAGCTCAAGAGCAGTCAAGAGTTGCTCCTGGCAGCTATTAGAAGATCCAGGTAGCTTTTTGAATAATAATTTTAGAACTGCAGAGTTTGAAGGGACCCTATGGGATCATCCAGTCCAGCCCCTGTCGAGGAGGCACAGTTGGGGAATCGAACTCCTAGCTTCTGGCTCCATAGCCAGACGCCTAAACCACTGAGCTATCCAGCAGTTATAAAAAGAAGACCAAACTAGATGGATGGGGTGAGCTTCAGGTGTGGTTGCAGCCCTTGGAGGTCGGGGAGGGCATTGGCTGTGTGCATTATGCCCCTCCATGCTGCAAAGTGGAGGTTTATCGCAATGCCTTCCCGTTTCCCATGCATGTCCCCGTCGTGTTTTTAATTTGTTGCAAATTGTCCCCTGGTGTCCATGGCAGAACGTCTTTTCCCTCCCAAGAATGGTGTCAGAAATGTGGACCATCATAAAAACAGCTCCAGGGGCTTGAATGTTAATAAAACACACGAAAGCTGGACTGTTCAGGTTTCTAATAGTTGGCTGAATAGTTCAGCAGTTTGGGTCTCTGGCTGCAGAGCCAGGGGCTGGGAGTTCGAGTCCCCCACTGTGCCTCTTGAGAGAAGAGCCAGCCTGGGTGGACTTGGGCAAGCTGCACCGTCCCAT